ATCAAGGGATGCACGGCTCACCGTCGACATCTCGGATCTCTGCGGTTGCAGCCTTGCAGTTGCAGTAGCGAAGAAAGTCTGGCTAGTGAAATGAAGCAGCTCTGCTAGCAGTGAGTGGCAAGTAGTGAGCGAGGATGAGGACGATGGATGTGTTGCCAGAAGCAGGGGAGGCCGAGGATTTATAGGCGGCATCAGGGAACCCAAACGATCGGCGGACGGGGAGAAGCGGCGGGCGGTCGCGGACGTGGTTTTGGAGCCGATATGTGCGGTTTTCAGGGGATTCGTTCCAAGGGACCACGGTTTGCTATCCACTCCTGGCCTGGCCTGCAGATAGACGACAGGACAGAGACAGACGTCGCATGACACCATGTGCATGGGACAAACTTTACTGGTTCTAGTACTTGCAACGTCACCGGCCTTGGAGCTCGAACGATCCCTTGCGAAACTAGTTACATTAGAGGGTTATTTGGATCGCTGTCGTTACAATTTTGCAACTTTTGATATACGTTATTATAATTCATCTATTCAGAACCATGCTATTATAATTCTTCTATTGTCGCTTTTCAGGACGTTGGGTCCACATGTAGTTAACTGTATTATAGTATTGCCCAAAATAGCATCTACCTTTCTCAATCTCCATGTGACTGACGTGTGGTCCCACCCGTCAATCTTCTTCCTTCTTTTCTTCTCCAAGCCCGCAGCAAGATGCTGCTCCAATGGAAACCGTCGCGCCAGTGCGCGTCCAAGCCCTCGCTGTGACTGGTGTGTCCCACATCCCGGTGCCGTACATCCAGCCGCTTGAGCACCTCCTTCCCCGTTGCCCTCCCCCATCGCCGCTGCCCTCTTGGTGTCGATCGTCGACCTCTCGTTCCCCACCACGGCCAACGTTGTCCGTGCCGCGTGCGAGGATTAGGGCGGCTTCCACCATGTGGTCGGCCATGGCGTGCGGGGGAGCTCCTCGATGAGGTGTGCGGCTGACCTGCAGCGAAGCGGGAGGCGAGCTGCGAGCTGCGGCCATGGCGTCGGGCCATCAATGCGGGAGGCCGGGTTCGCGAGTGTGAGCGCGAGTGGCTGTAGCGAGGCAGGAGACGAGCTGCGGCCATGGCGTTGGACCGTAGTGCGAGAGGCCGGACTCGCGAGCACGAGCGGCTGCAGCGAGGCGGGGGGCGAGCTGCGAGCTACGGCCATGGCGTTGGACAGTGGTGCTGGAGGCCGGGCTTGCGAGCGCATGCAGCTGTAGTGGGCGGCCAGGCTTGCGAGCAGGAGCGGCGACGTCGGCGGTGAGGCACAAGCAGCTGCAGACCTGTACGGCAGCGCGGTGGTGCGCGACATCGGCAGCGGGAATCATGGGGTCGCACGATGCTGGCGTGAGCACGCGGCCGAGGGGGACTTTAATCCACCGCGGGCATGGGGGCCGACTGCGGCGACGGTGGGCTGCAGCACGGGCACAGAGCCCACCCGAGCCTGGCTGCATGCGGACCAGAGCCAGCGAGGGAAAGAGAGGAGGAAGAAGACAGTGGAGCCCACGCGTCAGTGATGTGGGGAAAGAAAGGGGCAAAGGCATTTTAGATAATATGAAAATTGATTGGTGTGCAAGTGGATCCAACAGTATCAAAAGTGTACAAAGTGGTTTATTTCAAAGAATGAAAGAATTATAATAACATGATTCCAAATAGATGAGTTGTAGTGCGTATTTCAGAAGTTCAAAATTATAATGGCACCCATCCAAATAACCCTACATTATATCACATCAGGGGTTAGCTTGCAACTCGCTAGCGTGCTGCTTTCTCTCTTCTTCGTCCAATGAAATCGTATCTGAGCTAGCTATTTGATTTCCGTTGGGGACGACCTAATGGGAGCCCAGGTACGCGTGAACAGGCAACACGGCCAGGCCTATGACGCTCCTGCATGCGTTGCGCAGACCAAAAGTTCCAACATTTGGCAAGGTAGCAGTAGTCACGATGACAGTGAAACTTTTTCCCGAGGACGAAGGTGATCTGGCTGTGTCGGGATCCGGTCGAAGTTTAGTCGCGTCACATCAATTATTCGGATACTAAATATGATCTAATTATAAAATTAATTACACAGAAGTAGACTAATTAGCGAGACGAATCTATTAAACCTAATTAATCTATAATTAGCAAATGTTTGTTGTAGCACCATATTATCAAATCATAGGCTACTTAGACTTAATAGAGTCGTCTCGCAAATTAACCTCAATCTGTGTACTAATTCACCTATGTTTAATACTTTTAATTAGTATCAAAGATTCGATGTGACGGGACTGACATGATCTGGCGTGTTTCCGTGGCTGTACCCTCAGTTTTTTTTTGGCGAAACCACGGAATCAACCATGGACATGGTGGCGCTAGGCAGCAGAAGACAAACACAATGGCACAAACTCACATTTTTTTCTATCTGAACTTATCATTTTTTATTTAGTAGCAAGGGAAATTATATTAATAGATACGGAAGCGCACCGCGGAATTAACCGTAGACTTGGTGCGTTCGCGTCCACACCGCCATCCCGCAGCACGCCCTCTCCACCGGCCCCTATCGTGCCCCCTCCGTAGTCTGAGAAGAAGACAAGGCAGCAGAAGACGAGGAGGAGACATCAAGGCGGGGCAGCAAGACGCGAGGAGGGAGATGTAACAGCTGATCTACTTTTGAAACATCACGTACAACACTTGCAACATAGTCTGAAGACAGATAAAACGCTTGAAACACTTGCAAAAAACACATGAAACACTTGAAAACCATTGCAACACATATGCAACATCCAGATAAAACACATGCATCATATGTGTGAAATATATGCAACATCTATACAAACACACTTGCAATATACATCTAAAAAACAGATAAACATTGGGAACAAACGCTTGCAATATACGTATACAACCATTGCAACATATGCAACATCCCGATCTACTTTTGTAACATCTGTATGAAACACTTGCAACATACCTCTGAAACATATGAAACATCTGTAGCATACATTTGCAACATGCGTTTTTCAACGCAACATGGCGCGGGTGGCGCAGGGAACTCACGCGGTGGAGGCAGTCGCGGCAGCAGATGGCGGCACATGACGTGGTGGAGGCGGCCACGACAACAGATAGCAGAACCCGACAAGGTGGAGGCGGCCGCAACAGTCGGATGGAGGTGCCCCGGCGCGGTGGAGTCAGCCGCGGCATGCCTATCTAGGCACTACGGCTCGAGAACAGCGGTGAGGAAGGACAAGGTCGACGCGGCCAAAGAGTTTGGCGACAAAGACAGTGGCGTGGCCGATCCACTACAGCGCGCGGTTAGGTATTAGATGGTGGTTTGCGTGTATCTTGGGATACAATCTAGAACCTGGTTTTGATTTTGGGCGAAACGAAACCCATTTGTTGCCTCTTTGCTATCCACTCGTATTAGATGGTGGTGTGCATGTATCTTGGGATTCCAGCACCTACTTTACTGCTTCCACTACAAGTACTTGTCATCATCGTCCAGAGTACAGAGAAACTGAAAACAAATGCGTGCAAGAAACTGGCCAGTAGTTTAATAACGACTCGTAACTAGGCTGTGAAAACTGCAGTAGTGCAGAGAGTACGCAGGCAATGGAACTAGCTGGAAGTGAGCAGTTTTGGGGGTTGGTTGGAAATCACAAATCAGGGTGGCGTTCCCAGTTTTCGGATGCGCAGGGCAGCTGCGGGACCACCGACGCCGTGGCGTCTTGGTTCTGTGGGCTGCTCTGCCTTTCTGCCGCGAGCTTTTGCGCCCCCCACTCACTCCAGTAGTACGTGTACGGCATGGATAGCTTATCCTCCGCTGTCCCCTCCAATTTTCAGATCCAAAACCTATTACACCAGTATGATCTTATCCGGTAGTACTAGCGTCTATATCCAAATCTTCATCCAACTAAGCTACTTCTATCGACAACAGAGCTAAACCTAAACTCCTTCTAATAATTATCATGTTCGTTTGGCTAATAAGACATGGTTGAAAGTACTGTTGGTTAATTTGTTGTGAGAGAAAAAAACTATTCGTTAGCTGAAAAAATACGGTTTATAAGCAAGCAAACCGGACGTTTGTTTCATTGTACTTTATCTGAACCTGTTTCAAGTCTCTTCTTCTTTCCGTAGGATAGGAGCTTTTTTTTTCCTTTTCCTTTCGAAACGGTCCATAGGCTAGTAAATTATAGAAGTCAACGGCAATGTCAGCTCGTCGCTTTCGAATTTTATAAGGTATAAATGCAACCAGTCAGCGGCGGATCCAGGAAATATTTTAGGGGGGCTGAACAACACTGCTGCTCGATCTTAAGTTTCAGCTCCCCCTACACTATAGAACTTTACCTAAAATATCATAAGGGTTCTATAGCAATTTGCACTGATTCGGTGTGGGTAGGGGGGGCTTGAGCCCCCCCCCCCTTCTTTGGATCCGCCCCTGCAACCAGTGTGCTATAGTACATGGCGTACTACAGGATTACCACCTTTTGCCACTCCGTTCGTTCATCGAAAAAACAAGTCGAAATACGGTTCTGACTGATTTGTTGGAAAAGAAAAACACTATTCTAACTAAAAAATAAGTTAAAAAAACAAATTATAAAAGAAACGAACAGCCTGGCTACTGGGCTAGCGATAATGCAGAGGACAATCTCACAAACCTACTCGCTGAGTCGCTGAGGCTCCAAATTCCTTCGCACATGAATTATTAATTAATTAATTGTTACAGCATTAGTAAACCAGTGTAAGTTTGACACGGTGCATGGATTCCGGACACACGTCAACAACTAATTAACAAGCCACTGTCCCTGCTCCAAGCACGTGCCGTATACACAGATCAGTGACTCGTTTCGGCTTTCCAGTCCTATAGTCATCGTTTGATCGCCAGATCATGGAAAAGGTAAATAGTAAAAATTTTAGGAAATATATGTACGCATATACCAACATTTTTGTTACACTCTTTTATTATAGAAGAATATCGTGTTTCGTGAGGATTATGTAGAGGTTTTGTCAAGGCTCTCCAGTCAGAGATGGTAAAAATAGTACACCATCTTTTTCTTTCTGCAACGGCAATGTACATGGCTACGGCCACTACTGATATGAAGATGATTTATAGCTAGCGACGTACAAGGAGCGAGTGAGGAGGAGGACGATGGATGTGTTGCCAGACGCAGGGGAGGCCGATCGAGGATTTATAGGCGGCATGCCGGCATATGAGAAGCGGCGGGCGGGCAGGCGCGGACGTGGTTTTGGAGCGGAGGCGGAGGCGGTGCACTGCAGTGGATCGCGGCTTTCAGGATAGATGCCATTGCTGTTCACCTCCTCGTTCTCGATACCAGGGGACCACGCTCTGCTCTACTATCCTCTCTGCTCCTAGCCTGCAGACAGACGTAGCATAACAGCAGCATGTGAATAGGACACCGGCCTGCTTGCCCTCGATAATGTGGCAAAGAGAGTTGCATATATTTGATTTGATTTTTTTAGATATTCTCAGCAGCAGTCATGCTCTGCTGAGAAGATTTTTGCAAGTAACGTGGCGTAGCCCCGCCCCCAAAATTAACGCCCCGCCCCCAAAATTAATCTTACAAATTAATAATGTTGTACATTTGCAATTTGAGCCAAGGCTACATTGTACATTTAAAAAAAAAGGAACATACGTTGAAAATATACACGTGGTTATTGCGTCATTCTGGCTTGCTTATCACAAATGTGATGCAAGACACGGGCATACAGCAAACAGTCAATGCCAATGACGTCAGAGCACATTTTGTAGCACCAACCATGGGCACAACAGAACCTCCACGTAAAAATGATTTGACAGCATAATGTCGGAAAAACTTGATCGTAAATCTTTCAAATCGCAAGTTCAAGTTAAGACATACAGCCCATCATTTCTTGAGTAACTTCTGACACTAATGATTTTGGGATTCATGGGCCTAAATGCACCGCCGTGGTGTCCCTTGACATGAGATTCACCTCCACCTTGCCCCTCCCAGTCGGATTACCTCTTCCGTTCCAGAATCCCTGTGAGCTCTATCATCGCCAGCATCATTCTTTGTGCTTGTTGCATCACCGTATAAATCCTTTAGCTTTGCCAGGTTGGATGATTCTGGTGCCCTACCAAATGGGCTGGAGCGATGCTTGTCACCGTCAGTTCTGCCACGGCCTGGACTCCTGCTCCTGCTCCTGCGGGAGCTTGAATGTCTATTGCGGTCAGAAGCCCTGTCCCTCTTTTCGCGGCCTCGCCTTTCGTCATCCCTATCTGAATAACTCTGCCGATGATGATCCCGGTCTCTGTGATCACGAGCATAACGATCATGCTCCCTATCCTTGTACCTGCCACGATCACGATCTGAACGGTCCCTCTCAGAGTCATGATGGCACTCAGAGCTCTGACTTCTGCGCTTCCTTGGTGGCGATTTTGCATGGTCACCATCATAACTTCTTTCCTTGTCCTGTTTGGAAGGTAATGTTCTTCGGACTGGGGAAGAATCCCTTGTGGATGCACGGTGTGGAGCACGCTGACCAAAAGAGACAGACAAAGAAGCCTTTACGGAAGGAGGCCTTCTGGCAGTATCATTTGATTCAAGCCTATTGGAATCCCCAGTCATTCCTGACTGCTTTGTTGGAAGCTTCAGCTTCTCAAGATGGCTAGTGACCTGTCGGAGAATTGGGAGAGGCACTCGTGGAAGAAGACTGTCGAAATAATACTGCAAAAAAATAACAAATATCATTGACACTTTGTTTTAACATGTGAAAAATAATAATCCTCAATTGAAACTTATCTAATAGAGTAATGTATATAAAAATAGAAACACTGAGGAATTGCATCAGAGTTACCAACAAATACAGACTGGTACGTCAATATGATGGTGATTTAATAAACAATGATTTGTCATAGATAACAATTTAGTTAAATGTTTTGCAATTGCCTTCAGCAAACTGAATTAACCATAGTTAATGTATAGTGTATCGGCTGGACCCGTAAATAGAGTGCAAGGACAAATCTGCTCTAGAGTAGCAACATGAACAGCCGAACAAACCAGAAAATCTTAATTTAGGTCACTGCTTACCTAACTAGCGTGGCAATTAAATGTATGAACTATTGGGCCTTGGTTAAATTATAGAAAAATTTAGAGAAATTTGCAATACAACATATCAGAGCATCTGACTGGGAATAAATGTGGATTCAAGCAGCGAAAAAGAAAAAAGTGGTTTTACAGTTAACTATCAAATCAGTATCTGGATTACTCATCTTTTTTTTCTTTTTAGTACCATTTCAAAAAAAAAAAAAACTATATCATATTAACGCATTGGAACCCTTTTGCTTTTCTCTAGAAAAAAATGGACTTATTTCTTTGATAACATATCATATACACCTTCGGCAAAGAATCATGTCAGGATGAAAAAGAAAATCACAAGAAACCAAGATGGACAAAAGCCCCATGGGCATACATTTTCATGTGATATAATCCTCAACAAATAAAAAAAGAGAGAGAGTAAATTATCTTGCAAACTAGCAAGACCAAACCATTTCAAATGTTATGAATCCTTCAACCACTTGAAACATAGGTTAGACTAGCGAAAAACAGTGAAAAAAGAAATTTTGAGCAACACATCATGACAAACCTTATACAGTGATGTTACTGGCGGACGTGATGATGTCTCCTCTTAAAAGCAACTCCACAATTGAAATTTCCCCTCAGTATACCAAATCAACAGGTGAGTGATTCAAAGGGCGTACCCAGTGCAGAGAGCTCCCGCTCTGTGCGGGGTCTGGAGAAGGGTGTCAGTGGCAAGCCTTACCCTCGCCTGTGCAATGCGAGGAGACTGCGACTCGAACCCAGGACCTTCCGGTCACAGGCGGTAAGGTGAGTGATTCAAGAAAGACTAATTGTATTTAGGTTCAGAAAATAATATGGTTAATGATCTCTGCCCTCGGATGTAGTGGGGTAACTAAGGAGACATTGTGATAGCAGCTCAGGATACTGTTTTGTTGTATGGAAGAATTGTGAAATAACTTCAAGAGATATACCTGACCAAGGAGGAGATCACGCACATAAACGCCCATTGTAGTCAATTTACCATTTGATCCAGGGGCAAACTCCTGAAAGAGTAGGGCATTAGATTTAAGACATCGACACTGGAAAGAACTGTAAAACGGGGGCATAAATATTTTACAGCTATAAACATGGGCAAATCAATGTTATTATAGGCATGAAAAAATATTATCACAGATAGATCCACATGGCTAACCAGTAAGTTCATACATATGCACATCGTTGTGTTAGAAGTAAAAGCTATGACAGGAATGGTGGATTCCAAAGAACCACCAATTTTGCCTCAAAGATTGCACATTTCAATATATCCTTCAGTGCATGTTTCGAACGTCGATTCTTTTCTGATTGTAGACTAGAATACAGACATAGGAACCAGCTATTGTCCCGCCTTCAGTTTTTTACAACTATATCTGATTCTTTCTGCAAGCACTGCTCTTAGTACATAGCATGTGCCAATATCAAAAGATGATCTTTGTTTATGTTACACAAGTTTATCATACCATTTAAGTGGAAACAATGCAACAGAAACTTGAGGATATAATTCAGAAGCGATGGTTCAACACTTGAACTAGCATTTGTTCTTTTGCTGCTTAATTTAATGTGAAACAAATACAACAGAAGCAGAAGTGCTAATGCAATAGAAACAATCAAACAATACCTCGTCATCCTTGATATAGGGTTCGTACCAAGTCCACAGCGTCTTCGGTTCTGCAACATATCGCAGGTAGAGGAATCCAATCTGAAATAAAGCAACTATTATATTCTGATACTCAAATTCGTTTGTTTGATAAACTGAACATTTGAGACGACTGACAAGCTAGTCCCATGTGTGAATGGGCTTATATATCACTTGGTTGGTTCCATGTAAATACAGCCAACTAAGTCCATCACGACTACTGACTATTACATGTACTACCGGATAAGCTTTAGCTAATGACAATACAGTGAGGGCCACTCCTAGTCATGTAGAGTTCGATGCTTTGGCAGAGTCTGATTCCCTAACTAAATCCCCCAAAATTGTTAACAGTCGACATGCAATAACTTGTTCTAAAGCCAGAAACAGCAAACAGATCATTGAACAGAAAATCGAGACTAGGGAGGCCAGAGGTTCACATACAGCTCTGATGTAGGGGGAGTCCTGGTGCTTGAGCAGCCCGTGCATCTGGTTGACGGTGAGCTTCATGGTGAAGAACTTGTAGAGGAGGCAGAAGGCGGAGGAGGGCCCGCGGCAGTTGCCGGTCATCCAGGGCTCGACGTGGTCCACCTGGTTGTAGATCTCGTCGACCACCTCGTGGTAGGTCTTGTACTTGAAGAGCTCCTTGAAGTAGTCCGAGGACAGGATGTTCACGGACAGCACCTTCTCCATCAGCCCCTCGATGGGACGGCCAGACGACTGGATCTCCATCCCCTCACCTCTGGAATCAACAGAAATCAATTCGAACCACGCCGGAGACGGTAGGTGCATGCGGGTAGCAAAGAGAAGATTCGAAAGTTCACCTCTTCTCTGTTCCACCGGAACGCGAGCTGAGCTAAGGGCGCCCGGGGATACGCCGCCCCGGCGGCGCGGCGCGATCGGGACGGCGGCGGCCCGGAGGAATCACCTTGGATTGGGAGGGGTCGGTAGGAGAGGAACCTAGACCAGAGGCGGAGGAAAGGAGGAGCCCGTGGGCCGTGGGCGTGGGTTTGGGTCAGGCGTCAAGCCACCCGACGGGGTGACGCGCCTAGTGCTCAGTCACATCAGGGCCGTCGGCTGGATGATCTACGGACGGATCGTACTGGGCCACAGGGGCCAGCTCGAGTCGGTTTGCTCTGTCACGGCCTGCTCCCAGGGCTACAGTGGAAACATGAAACCCATTCAGAAAACCGTATTTACTTGGCTAGAAAAAAGTTGAAAATTTAAACATTAACAGCGCATCCATATATATACTCAAATGAAAAGATTAAGATGCAAAATCATTTTAAAAATAAATTAACAAATTTCAGACGCATGTGCATCATAAGGGATTTTGTCTTCTCATGTACATGCTCCTGAAATATGTACATTTTCGTATGTTTTTTTTTCTAGTTTCAATTTGTATCTCAACTTTTTTGTATGACATATGAGGATGCACTATGGATATGCCAAGTTTAAAAAAAAAAGGTAATAGTGAGATGAAATCTTGCCTGGTTCATATAGCATTTCTACATAACCTTCTAGTCTTGATTGATGTACTTCTGCTCTGTGCATCCTCAAGTCACTATGGTGCTCTACGCTAAATTCACATATACAATAGTGTGTTAGCTTCACCTAAAGTTGCTGCGGCAGGTGCTTCTAGAGTACTGTGCCAAGAGAGCTAACAACACCTTTAGGTGTAACGAACAACCCCAAAGAGTAAGTAATGCTTATGGATAAATATTTGGTACAAACTCATTGTTCGGTGCAATCATGAAAACTTAATTGAAAGACATACTTAGAAGGTTTATCAAGGTCATATATGTTTCCGTTTATAATCCAATTATTACAAAAAAATAAGAATCTTGACAAACGCTTCGATTATTTCAGGTTTCTTTACTACCGGTTCAAAACTTTAAACTAGAACAACTGAGAATCGGAAAAAGTCCCTACAATATAATAATTATAAACGAATTAATAAGCAGAAACAAATAAGATCCTAGTTTGATCGCAGGGGCGGCGGTGGCCAAGCCAGGCCAATTGAGAGGTGCCCGGTGCCTCTGTTCGCTGTGTTTGCCGGTTTATGTAATTTGGTTGAATGTGGAGCAGAGGTCGTGTCATAACGTTTTCCAGCTCGGTACCAAATATTTTGTCTTGAGTCGAACTGAAATTATGGAGAAAAAAAAAACTTTATTTCGTATAAGTTGTTTCAAGCGCCAGCTGTCGTGGAGCAAAGCTTACAGTTCAGTTTGACTAGTGCTCGTAGTTGGCAAGCGATTCGGTTTTATGCGGTTGTATACGTAGCCTGTGACGACTGTGATTCATTTTGGAGATCAATGTGCCTGTGTCACATTTGCCGTTTCAGAGGCCGTTTCTTCGCACGAGTTCAGTCTTCAGTGCAAATGTGCACGTTCTTCATGTGGAACACGGACGACGGAACATCAACCCACTGCTGAGATATTTTGCATCCGGCCTGTGATGAAAATGGCGCGAAGGCAAAGTGTGCATGGCCGTTGGGCTTGTGACCCGAGTGGGGGCATTAAGGCGGTGCGGATGCTTAGCGCTGGCTTTCTGGGCCTGGGGCCCGTGGTGTGCCTTTGCTGGCCTGCCCGTCCCAAGTTGGTAGTGGTTGGCGGGGGGCCCTAACGAAAGCTTTGGGCCTCTCCAAATTTTTTTTTCTCCGTACAGCCCAACTCTTCTGGCCCCAATAGCTGACCGCAACTCTTTTTTTTTTGGCCCAGTCCTGTCATTCCTTCTTTAGTCCCTAGTAGAGCCCAACTCCCACCATCTCTTTTTTTCCCAGCCCTGTCATTCCTTCTTTTCTCCCTAGATAGACTTAGCTGCTCATTCGTCTTTGTTACTCAATTCAGTCATTAATAAATGCAGCTAACATGTTTTAGTTTTCCTATCTTACATTTTTACATCTATTTCTTCCCAGGCTTAGCCGCTCCTCGCCGGCGGGGGCCTGATGGCGACGCCGGTTCGTTCAGTTCAGCTCGTGTAGCAGTGTATGATGTCGACTCCAAGAGGTCTACGACCCTTAATTAGTTTGTACACGTTGCGGAAGCTCTTATCCAGGCAATAGCTAGCACCGTGCACTGACCGGTGTACCGGTAGTCCGCTACGCTTTTCGGAACCTGCTTGGGCAGGCAACAGCACTGTGCACTGCCCTGCAGCCGATACAGGACGGGCAGCAGGGTGAGTACGCTGTAAACAGGCAGCCGCAGGCTGGCATATGCGCAGGATGAGGATGAATGCGCGAACCACCCGTTGCTGTGCGGCGGCAGGGGGCAAACAGTAGGCGGGCGCTGCCCGGCCGATCCGATCCACGGCAGGGGCCGGGGGGAAAGGAATGAATGCGCTCTCGCTGGGTCGCTCCCGGTCCCCGGCCGCGCCATCACGCCATCTAGCTGGCCCATGTGACGCGCGCAGGGACGACGACGGGGCTCCACACTCGCCCGCCCGGCACGCGGGGATCGCAGGCGCGCGGCCGCCGGCCAGGATTGCCGGACCGGCCATCACCACGGCTCCCGCAGCGGCCGGGCGGCGGAACCAAACGAACCCATCGCGAACCGGCGTCGCCATCAGGAATCAGCCCCACGCCCGACGCGGTGGCAGTGTGTGCCGGCCGGAACCGTACCCCGTCGTGGTCGTGTGCCATCTTCGCTGGCAAGTAGCAACGCCCTTTGGCATATTGCTTTTGCTCACTCGCGTGAAACCCATGTCAACCCGACACATTTCACTGCCTCGTTCGTTCCTCACGACGCTTTGCCCAAAAACGGAAGTGTTACAGTGTGCGCGCGGAGATGGAACCAGTTTCTGGCGGCGACGGCGGTCGGTCTCGCGGGCATGGCTGGGTTGGCGCTGTCACGGGGGCCAGCTCCAGCCAGAGAAGAAATGTAGGTGGTTGGTTCGGTTGAGTCCAGCAGCCCCGGCCCCCCGGGCCCTGGCCGTCGTCCTCTGCTTGCCAGCAGCCGCCAGCCTCTAGTCTAGGGCTCCGGGTCCGGCGCCACCCACCGCCAGCCAAACTTTTCCGTTGCCTGACGCGTGACGACACCCCACTAGCTTTCTTCTCTGCAACGTGCCGTGCCGTTACATACCATGATTCGCGTGGCCGCATCTCACCAACACCGCCAGTTACTGCCCGACCTGCACGTACGCATTCACGCACTCATCATCTCCGTCCACGAGAGGCGTAACCGCGAAAGCAACGGTTCCGTCTCCCGTCTTGTTGCTCGAAGCTTCCAAGGACCGAAATGGCTCATCTTTCGTTTTCGCATCGGCTAGGCTGCAAGCAAAGCAAGCCGCCAAGGCAAAGGCAGTTCCAAGAAACCGGAGCTGGTTGACCGACCGTCGCTGTGCCTTGTTCGTTCCAAGCACGGCGTTCAGGCCGCTGAATGTGCTTCACGGTTGAACCTTCCGTGGACAGAAAAAGGACATCAAGATTTACCACTTGACAGGGCAAACTTCTTGCATCAGGAGGAAGGAATTCGTGCTCCTCCAAAATATTCTGAATGGTTGGATATTGCAGATCTAGCACTGCACGTGAAGACCCCACTGCAGAACAAGACATGGTCCCAGAAGGGTTGCACCGCACTGCACCTGCCAGACATCAGGATTGCCGGCCTCCGGAGGTCCCAAAGCTCAGGTTCCACAAATCACACATTCTTTTTTTTTTACCTGTCCTTGGATGCAAACGCAGGAGGTCTGCGATTCGACCAATCAATAAGACAAAGATGGTAAGAATGTACAAATTAGGGGCGAAACTTATCAGCCGGCTTATCAGCTAGAATCTACAGTATTTTTCTCTCACAACAAATCAGCTTTAGCCGGCTGATACCAGCCGAACAGACCCTAGGCTGTTACAAAGGGGAATGCCTTCTACACACACAACCTGGCCTAACCTACTACATCATCATCCCCTGCAGAATCTTCACTCCGGCCTCAATCATCTCCCCACGGTTTTCTTTGCTCGGCCGGTTCGGCTTAAGGGGGAGTTCATGCGCTCTCCGCCGGGAAAAAACCCATGTTCCCCTCACCATGCGCCCGCTTCGGGCGCCATTCTGTGTGCGCCTTCACGATATCGGCTCCTGATTCCAGCTGGAGCAGGTGGTCGCACTGGATAGTGGAGTCTGCGTGGCTGTCCACGCATTCACCTGCAACGGTGGTGAGCGACTGCAGCACGCTGTCCCGGCCACACTCCTTCCTGTAATCCAGCGTCATGCTCACAAGCTCATGCTTTTCCAGGATCGAAATCGGAGCACTCTGCAAAAAAAAGAGAAATAAAAAGGATTCAGGCATTTGAGCAGCTTTGTACTATGCAAGATTAAGAAGCTCAATAGATATCATTGTACTAGCAGCACTGTTTACTTTCCAAATACAGATCACCAATTGATCATTCATTAGCGAGGAGTAATACAAACACAAGTACACAAAGCTTTATAAACTTTTATGTCATGCCAGTGAGATCTCCAACCACCACCACATGGCCAGATCAGTGGCCATTGAATAAGATGAAAAGAGGCAGGCCCTCAAGAAATTACCTCAAGAATCCAACCAATATACTTGACGTTGTTCACGTGCTGGTTGACATCAAGGTCACCCCACCTAGGCTGTTCCATGTAATGGAGCTCCATGAGAAACTTACATTTGAGAACAATCAAGGGAACACTACGAAACAAAGCATGGTTATCCTACTTACAGTGAGCCCCTTTCTTATGAACTGCTTCATAGTATCACCATCAGAAGTGCTCCCTGGCTTAGCCAGCTTCTCACTTTGCTCATCTGTTATGGCTGAGCGGCCATTGAAATATGGGCCTATCTCAGCCCTAACTTCATCTGGCATTTTCGAAAGCCTTCTAGTGTTCTTATTCATCATCACCCAAACACTGCAAGCAAAAATCGAAAGGTACGTAAATCATAAGCAAAGATGGAATTTCACATCAAAGAGAAGCAATAAATGCAAAACCAGATGAAATCCAAACCTTGTAGCTCTCAAGATTGTACGTCCAGAGTTGTAGTCACGAACATGCCAGTCTCGACGCATGCCATTTTTTCCAGCAGCAGCTACCCATGTGTCCACTTGAACCATATCTCCCCTAAATTATAGCAATTTTTTCAACAAATATTCGGTCAATTTCAGCCTGCAAGGAAATGTCCACAACTATATCTGAACCAAGAACAAACTACAGTTTGATTTGTTTCCCATTTCCCCAATAAGGTATACGTGGAATTGGACTTGTAACTTCAAAAAACTAACATTGTAGCAGGTATTGATTTTATGAGCACTAAGTTATTTGCTCAAATAGCAAATTAAATGTAGTGAGCCAACGAATCCAGATCGAGGACATCTTCGTATGGCAACCCACAACATTTATTTCTTATAGGATGAAATCATTTATTATAACAATAAAGGTCAGTTCTGATCTCTTGAGGTGTACAGCCTGTCGGATCTTTGTGATTCAAACATTCAAGGAAGCACGGACAAACGCCACTTAATTCAGCAGTTCCAAGCCATTAATATATTGTCTCACCAAATAAATTACTTCCAATACTGTCACTCTAGACTCGACCATGAATCATAACAAATAGTGGTATTATTACTCCAAGGCACCTCTCAGTGTTTTGGTTGGATGAAACCATCCATATTAAGGTGTTGCCCGCTGAAATCATGCAGGCTATGGGAGTCCCACAACGGGGAAGTGGGCAATAAACTCATTCATCTGTGCAGAACTGCAGAACAATAAAATCAGTAATTGGCAGGGAAGTTGTTTTCTTGTGCTTTGGATTGATAGTTAGAATGATTTCAAATTCCAGTGATATAGCCTGCACCACTGAGACACAATTTTCATCTTCGAAAGCATAAGTAAACACGGCATCCTTAGACTATAGAAGCACTGCTCCTGAAGGCCTGAGTCATGTTCGTTTTACCAAGACATCACAGGTAGTCAGACTTTAAACCAAGATGTCTAAATGTTTTGCTTGTACCAAGGGTGGATCATGTGGACTGTTTGTACTGCTAATCTTCAAGCAAAGCTAAGTGCGTACCTACAGACTTAAAAAGGAAGTTTTCATGCTATACAACAAGCCAGTTAGATCCATCTAAAATGCACAAACTATCAGTCCAAAATCTCCAAGATGCTAGTGAAATGACCAAAAATTGAGCTATATGGCGTTTTCCTTGAGCTTCTTTACTAACATATAGTAACACTTCTAGCACATGCAACACTTAATTTTGAAACCGCATGTCCCAAGGGGCAACACGGACAATTCCATAAAGAGGGAGAGAGTAACGGTTATAAATTTGATTCAAAGCGAAAAGAAGGATGACATTTTCCGAGAAATGGATAAGGGTCGTTACAGTTTGCAGAAACATACCACGAGGGATATTGCTCAACAAGAAGCTGAATTTTGCTGACAACCCAGATCAAGTTTCGCTTGCTCATCTCTGGCGTGGCGCCAAAACCATCTCCAAGAAGGCCAGCTGTCTTCACATGGTTAAGAGCTGTTTCCTGAAAATTTCAAAATAATGTGAGCCACAATGAAACAAGATGGACCAATAGTAAATAGAGCGAAAAAGGTAGAGAAACTAAGTTTTGTAGTGTCATTGTGTCACCTGTAGATGATTCATTAATGTCTCTATAGAAGCCGTACGATCAGCACCAATCTCATAGGATCGAATCAAGAAGTTTTGCCTAAACACCAGCCCATCCTGGATGATCCTACCAAAACCAAATGTATCAACAAGCATGTCGGGTTTCTTAGGCTTCCAGTCAAGCAATGTCCACTGCTTCTCTGCTGCCAGGAATATGGTAGTGACAGCCGCAAGAAGCATGCTCCAATCTGGCAGTTGGTTGTAGAATGTCTTGGGAGCAGTGTAGGGTGTCGCCTCCTCTTTGTCTGGGCTTGCATTCTTGAGGTTAACCTTGGTGCCATTAACCTTGGGAAGGGCCTGTGCTTGAGCCTTCACTTGCATGTTCCCAGAAGGAGTGTTAGGCTTTGCGACAATACCACGGACACTCAAATTATCCGGTAATTCACCAGCCAAGTTCTTCGATGTTTTCGCGGACGCTGCCGGAGAAGCCCCTGGGCCAGGGAAGAAGGCTGAGGCAGCAAGGGAGCCAGCCATGGCTCAACCGTGCTTCAGGATTCAAAGAAGCCGAGGTCTCGCACTCGAAATGCCAACCTGAAGAAAGAATCAACAAAAACAGAAGCTTTTGTGAGAAGGTGTATATATTCACCATTTAGACAACAAAGCGCCACCTTTCCCCTCCTATTTTGCATTGCATTCTCGTGAATAAGACCTCGAAAGGAACACGGCTATTGTGTGAGTGTGATGGTTAAAATTTCTAGTTTGGGGCTTCCAGAATCGTGATAGCTACAGAAAGAAGCAGGGTTCCAAAAAGCGGCACTAAGCGCACGCTTCAGCGCGCTGAAGCGCTAAGCGGACAGGCAACGCTTCGCTTTGGGGCATAAGCGCTCCCAAAGCGGCGCGACCGCCTTGGTGGAGCAGCGGCTGCTGGCTCCCGCCTTGGCGACGGCGCGAGGCGACTGGCGAGAGGCGGGAGGGGGATGACGACGACGCCGAGCCTGGGACTGCCCCGCCGCCGTCGCCTGCGTGCCGAGCGCCCGGGGGGGAGGGAGGGAGGAAGATCGGCCCCGTTGGGTTCACAGCAACCAGCTCCACCGACGAATCTCCGCAAAACGCGCTGAGAGAGAGCTGCGAGAGATGGAGGAGCTGAAAAAAGTAGATCTCACCGGCTCCTTCTCCCTTCTCACGCGGGATGGACGCCAATGCCCCTGAATCCACGCGCTGCGGCTCCTCCTCCCTCCTCACGCGCGTAGCCGGCGACGGAGAAGAAGCCCGGAGGCCAGAAACGACGGAGGGAGGCGGGGCGGCGATGAGAGGCGAGACGGCGCGGGAGGCAGGGCGGGAGAGGCGGAGCGGAGGAGGCGGATGCGCGCCCTCGCTCGGCGGCGCGACGGGAGGTGTGGAGCGGTGGTGGTAGTCCGAGCGGGAGCGGTGGGACGGCGGAGAAGAAAGTTCGTGGTGCTCGTGCGCGAGCCGCGGGATCCCGATGTCCTCTCCCGAGAGCGATGGGTGGTGGGCTAAGGGAAAGAACAAAATAAATACTGTAAAAGAAGAGCTCATATCTCACCCATCCATACCAATGGAGGGGTGCGTTACGGTCGGGAAACGACGGAGAGCCACACCTGTGAGTATAGTTTTTCAAATGGGCCAGGCCCGATGGGCCGACACAGGCATGGCCCTAAAAAGCACGGCACTAGCCCGGTCCGGCCCGCTAGGCATCGTGCCCGTGACTGGCACGGCCTGCAGCCGTGCTCGTGCCTGGGCCGCACATTCGGCCCATGGGCCAGCACGAGGCACGACACGAAAAAAGGCATGGCCCGGCGTCGGCACGGCTTCGAGCCATCATGGCCGTTGGATCCCCCGACCCCTGCGATTCTAGCCGTTGGATTCCGCCGTTGAGGTGGGGGTGTATATAAGCAGCGTCGTCGCCCGGCTCCCCCTCGCACCCCAAACCCTAAATCATTCTCGCCCTCCCCGCCGCGCTCTCCTCTCGCTCTCTCTGGCTCTCCTCTCCGATTCCGACGGCGCGAGACGACTCCGACGGGCGACGGCGACCCGCCGCCGTCCCCACCTCCTCTTCTCGCCCTACGGCAGCTCCGGGGCTCCGAAGATGCAGGTAAGAGCACTCATCTTCTTCTTCTTCTCACCCTCCGGCAGCTCCGGCACGGAAGATGCTTTCTCTTCCTGATCTTTTTCTTCTTCTTTCTTCAGATCCGCTGATTCGCAGCTGCTCCGAGCTCCGTCTACGTCGTCGGCGTCGTCGAGGTAAGAATCCGCAGTAAACCCTAACCCTAACCGTTCTTGTTCTTTCTTTAGTTCTTGATCTTGACCGTCTTCTTCTTCTTGTTCTTGAATCTTGATCTAATGATCTACTTCTTCTTGCTCATGTGCACTTGTGCAGCCGTTTGAGGCCAGTGGCGATGCCTCCCTGGCCCCCCTCTGAAGAACTTGTGCTGATGTTTTCCTAACTAGTTGAGTTGTGCACTTGTGCTGATGAACTTGGGTTAAAAATGTGTTAGTGCCTAGGCCGGCACGGGCACTGGCGTGCCACCGTGCCTGCTGGCACGGCACGGCACGATTTCCCCTCCATAGTGCCGTGCCTGGGCTGCCACTTAGGCACGGTGGCACTAACAGGCAAGGCACGGTGGGCCGCCGTGCCGCATAGTGCCGTGCCTCGCCATGCCGTGCCGATGTCGTTCCCGTGCCGTGCCGGGCGGCCCATTTGGAAAAGATTACCTGTGAGTGGGGAGGGCTGGTTCTATGACGAGACTGGTCACGCGTGTGCCATTGTTAGACCATGGGTGTAGAGCCGGTGGTTCACTCGCGGGGTCTGAAACTAATAGTCGCCACGCTGATAGGATGCCAGAGGAGATGAATAGTCTATAATAATTTTCTTCAAAGTACCAAAACAATATTAGTTAGACAATAAAATGGTGGGTTAGCAAATTGCTCTAGCCCTACTTCACCACAAGCAAGCCTCCTAACCCATGCTAGTTGCTATGATCTCTAAGGTCGATTTCACTCAACCTAGCAACTACTACTACACTAGAGAGCTAGCTAGAGAGCTAATTACAACTAGTTACAACTAAGTTACTCTACTAGCTACTCAAGCAAGCAATCAAGCACTACACAAGCTGAGAGGAGCAGATGTTTGTACGGCCCTGTTTGGCAAAGCTTCCAGAGCTGATTCTCCAAACAATTTTAAGAGAAGTGATTCTGTGAAGTGATTCTTTGAAATAAACTAAGATGCTGGGAGCTGAAAAAAATAGCTTCTCTTGATTTTGTAAAGTGATTCTCCATCATGATTTTGAAAAGATTATGCTAAATAATTAAAGAGAATCACTTTCAGCCACAAAATCACTTCTATCAGAGAATCAGTTTCCCTAGAGAATCAGAATCAAATGGAGCTCTATGAAACATGCCCATAGATGGACTCACGGCTCACAGGGAAGGAAAGAGATATTTTTTGCTTCTTTTATTTCTGTATGGGCCCCAACACGTAACCCAGACCTTCCAAGAGAAGCAAAACATAGGAAACGGATAAAAAACTCATATCCTCATCCCTAACCCACATCACCTTTTCCATCTCATAACCCAAACCCAATCCGCATAGCTATCCAAATGACACATTATGGTAAAAAAACATGTGGGTGTGGTGGAATGTGGGTTTACGCTGAATTAATGGGCTTCTAGATGGGCCACTAAATAAAAGCCCGTACCATCTTTTTTTCTTTTTCTTTTTTTCTTTCTAACATTTTTTGAGAGGGTATAATTGGATGCACACAACCCACACACTCCACACTCACACGGTTGAAAGACCTAGTTTGGTTTTGGTTAATTGATGAAACTTATTAGACTAATCTTTGATCTAAGTGTGTAGGCAAGATAGGACAGTCCAAGATCAATTGATATGGTCGGCAAAGCTCTTGTGTGGTCAGCAAGGCACTAGAGTGCTCGGCATGCGATCGGCCAAGCCTAGGTGTGATTGGCAAAGACATTGGAGTGGTCGGTTATGATGGTCATGGTGATGGAGGTGACCAAAAGAGATGATCAAGTGCTCCAACTTGAAAAAAAGAAAGAGAAAAATAAAAATGGGCTCAAGACAAAGGTATAACCATAGGAGCCTATTTTTATTTGATGATCAAGACATTATATAGAGTGTGATCACATTTAGGATTGATAGCCGTACTATTAAGAGGAGAAATTCGTATGTAATTGTGGTTATCAAAGTGCCACTAGGTGAAGTCATACATGCATGCGCATTAGGACCTAGTGAGTTAACTTAAACCTTGAAAATGCTTTGAAAAATGCTAACACACGTGTACAAGTGATGAAACACTTTGATGTTAGTGTATGTGATCAAGGATAGAAGAGAGAAGTTGAAAATCACTTAGTAAAGTGATCCGGACCAAGGGTTGTAGGTGGTTCGGACCATCGTGGATGGGTCCGAAACCTAACCCTAACATGGCACTGTGCTGGAGAGTGCTCCGGACCTTGCTGTGTAGGCGGTCCAGACCATTGTGCTAGGATCCGGTTGGATACCCTAGTTATAGGAAGACAGGGCGCAGAGGATCCGGACCATGGATGTTGGTCCGAATGGCTCGGTCGAACTGGGTTCGCTCGGGAGCTCTCTGTGTAGCTCCGGACCCTGGTGGAGATTGGTCCAGACCCTGGTGTTTCAGGGCGTCCGGACCATGGACTCAGAGTCCGATTGAAGGTGCTACGGCGACGTGGCAGCACGAGGTTAACTTGAGGAGGTTCGGACCATGGCCATTGGACCAGACAGCTCGGTCGGACTGGGTCTAGAGGCATTTGTTGCTCTCTGGACCTCTCTAGATCGCTTCGGACCGCGGTGGTGTTTGGTCCGGAGGCTGAAATGTGGCGGTCCGGATGGGGAGTCCGGATGCGCGCATGGTGAAGGCTGAGCGCACCAATGGTAAGATTCAAATGGCCAGGGCGCGTGGCAGCGTGTGATTGGCTGCTGATGGGATCCGGACCCACGGCCATTGGTCCGGACGCCCTTGATAGGTGGTCCGAACAGGGAGTCCAGACGCCTCGCAGACAGTAACGGCTAGTTACCCCTTTAGGGTCTTTAAATAGATGTTGTCATGCTCTAGCTCACTCTCTTGCACATTTTGATCAATATTGCATCCTTGTGAGCTAAGCCAAACCTCTCCCACTCATTCTCTTGCTTGTTTGTGAATCCAAGTGAGTTGGGAGTGATTCCAAGTGCATTTGCATGAGTGATAGCATCTAGTGGCACTTGGGAATCGTTTTTGCTGCGGAGTTCTTGTTACTCTTGGTGGTTGCCGCCACCTAGATGGCTTGGTGCAGCGAAGGAGTGTTGGCAAGATGGGTGATTGTTCTTGGCCACACCCATTGGTGATTGTAAGGGGTTCTTGTGTCTATTCCCCGCGGAAGCTCGCGAAAGGTGACTCTAGTACATTGCCCATGACATTGAGTGTCCTCCTCTTGTGTTGGCTGTGTGGCACACTTCGTGGGTTAAGCGTGTGAACCTCCAAGTTGAGTGATCGTAA